TCCTTTTGGGGGGCGGGTTTGGGGGTGGGTCTGGGTTTGAGGTTATGGATGTTGTTGATGTGAGGGTTTAGGGAACAACCCGAAAAGAGTTTGGGAGGACACCCCAAAAACGAGTTTGAGGGACAACCCAAAAGAGTTTGGGAGTACACCCCAAAAACGAGTTTGAGGGACAACCCAAAAAGAGTTTGGGAGTACACCCCAAAAACGAGTTTGAGGGACAACCCAAAAAGAGTTTGGAGGACACCCCAAAAACGAGTTTGAGGGACAACCCAAAAACTTTGAGTTTGAGGGACAACCCATTTGACCGAAACCCTCTGGGTGCCCACAACGCGTACTCCTCGTCATCAACCTGGCACGGAGTCAATGGTAAAAGTGTAGGATACAAAATACCATGCTTCTGATTGTTAAGGATGGCACACGACAGACATTAAACGACTGTGCTTTTCACATCGAGAATGTCTGGTCTGTGTTCAGTAGGAATTACAGCAACTACCACAATATCGCAACCCACATTTAAAGGGTTTTGATTAAATGGGTTTTGATTAAAACAAGTTTAGGGTCAAAAGTGCTTTTGTAGCACAACCCCATTAAATGACACCGCTTTGGTGTACACAGCACACCGCTTTGGTGTAAACAGCACACCGCTTTGGTGTACACAGCACACCGCTTTGGTGTACACAGCACACCGCTTTGGTGTACACAGCACACTGCTTTGGTGTACACAGCACACCGCTTTGGTGTACACAGCACACCGCTTTGGTGTATACAGCACACCGCTTTGGTGTACACAGCACACCGCTTTGGTGTACACAGCACACCCTCACATCAAAACGCAACTGTTCACTTCTTGGACTTGTTGTTCAGCACCTTCTTCTGTCCTCCTTCTCAAACCTTTTCTGTATGCCATAGTGTTGTTCAAAAGGGACTTGAACTTGCCAAGGTCATAAGAGACATCGTTGCCTGATGAATTGTTGAACTCCGCCAAGAATGCCTTCATCCAAAGCTCAACCAGTTCACTGCGAAGAACCTTCAACTACGAGCACCACAAGTCTATTTCTTCCAGCTTGTCAAGCGCTATTGTGGCAGATTCGTAAATCTTATCTTCGACATAACCAGTTCGCTTGTTGAAGGTGTTGTCAAGACGAGTGAGTTGTTCATCACTGCATTGGTTGAGCAACTTTTCAATAACCTTCTCGTTGGAGCTCACATCGTGTCGGACACCTTGAAGTTGGTCAAGCAAAGGTTGCACTGCGGAGCGAAGGGCAACTGGTGGAGGTATAGGTTCTTCTGGTGTTTCAACATGACGATGTCTCTTCTGTATCTTCTTCATAGATTCCTTCACAACCTTGTTCATTGCCTGCTCCTTGTTCTTCACATAGAGGTTCAAGACCATTGCTTTTAAGGTCAAGAGACAAACTACACACAGGAGCGTGAGGGTGGTTTAAGCAAAATGCCTTCAAGAGAGCAACAATGCTTCAAGCACGGTCAAGATTGAAGACATTGACTTCTTGATGAACGCTTTTTTCAACTGGCATCTGGTTTTGAATGCGGTTTCCCCCAAGCCCGATTTCTGCCATCATACCAACTGCGTTGTGATGGACGTCCTCAATCAACACAGCTGTGAGTTGTTTAGATGAACATATGTGTTTTGAGGGTTTCAGCAGTCAATGTGGCATTTGAATGAGACTTACAAACTACTGCTCATTGTAGCCCTCCTCGTTGTTCTCAACCTCGTCCTCTTCAGACTCTTCATCTTCAATCACAGCATTCATTGGGATGTAGAAGTAGCTGTTGAAGGTCGGGGGAAAGCTCATCACAAAAGGGATGTTGTCAATGTTTCCCATAGACTTGATGCCCTTGCGTGGGTTGTTGGAGTAGTCCTTGTGCTCAATGTTGATGTAAAGAGCCCTTGCCACTGCCTTTGCCATAGGACGCTGACCTGTCTTTTTCAACAGGGTATTCAACGCCTCGACCACCTTGAAGCGGATGCCCCCCACCGTGGTGTCATCGGCCACCGTGATATAAACCTCATATTCGTTGCCCTTGTAGTGGAGCAAGACCGTCAGCTTCTTTGTGAAGGTCTTGGGGTTGGCACTGCGAGACTTGAGAGCATTTTTGACCACTGTCTGTTGTTCCTTCACTTTCTGCAACTGTTCGGACAACCGCTGGTTCAACTCTTCAACTGTGTCATTGGAGCTTCCTGACAGTGTGGTGTTCAACTCTGCAATGTCTAAGGCGAGGAGCTGAGCAATCAATGCCTCTGTTTCGGCATCGGTGTCATCCTTGTTCATAGGAGCGATGACCTTCTTGGGAGCCATTGCTGACAACACCAAAGTGCGAGATTGGAGAGCAAACTATCCGAAATCGCTTTTGAGCAGTCAATCACGTTGTGGGTTCAATGCTTTTGGCACTAACAGTGAGTCGTTTGACATATTGAAAGCATAAACAGGCAAGGCACACCATTTTTGGTTGATGACGAGGATGATGTCATCCAGACAACAAACAAACACAAGACACAGAACATGTCGCACGTCCAACCGCCCCTCGAAGTCGAAAGCGTCGCTGACAAAGTTCATGATGTGTTACCTGCGAGGAGCAAAGTCGCGTTGTGAAAAGAAATCTTTGTTATATCAACATCTATAACAGAAACCCCGTGTCCCCCAGAAAGCTTAAAAATTGTCTGAAACCCGAACCTTGAAAATGTCAATATCTTAGACTGTTTCATAATGAAAAGAAATGTAAAAAATGTTGAGAAATTTTAGGAAAATTCCCCAAAACCCCTATTTGTGTTTTGAACAAAATGGTTTGCTTGTTTAATTTCTTCCCTGAACCCTGAAGCCCCAACTTGTAAATACCCTACCCCAGACCCCCTATTTTAACTATTTTCCCCCCCCCCCTCATGAGGGGTTGACAATACAGCAACCCTGTGACACCTTTACTGTAAAAGGACCAATGGTTTATGCCACGCATTTCGGAGCACTGGCCTTCTTGGAATGAGCCTCTGAGCGGCGGAAGGAGGCCCTGTGCACCACTCGCTTTTTCTGCCGCAGCCGAACGCAGCAACACGCTCAAACTTGCCCAAGGCAAACAGACCTGACCTGACCTTTTGCGCTTTCCCGGATTCGGGTTTATGGCTCTCCAAAATGAGTGTTTCCCATGTGAGCAGCCCGTTACCTCCCAAGCAAGAGTTGTGTCATAACAAGGCCCCGGGTAAGCAAAACTCTGCACGGCGTAAGCCGCGTAAGCACTTCTTGGGGAAACATGCAGCGCAAGCACCTGCGTAAGCTCTTCTTCGTGATTGCTTGGCAAGCTTTGTAAGTATGCTTGGAAGAGTTGTGCTTATGGGTTTATTGGTGGCTTGTGCTGTTGCAACCTAATCGAGCTTGGCAACTTGAGCGGCAGGCAGACGTCTAAGACTGCATGTGCCTACCATTAGAAAACAAAACCAGCAGAACCAGTAGGTGCTGTTGCAACCTTTAGTAGGACAAACAAAGGCTTCTGAAACAGCTGATCTAAGAAAGCTAAAAGGGCTCGGGCACAAGCTCGCGTAAGCAGGCGCGTAAGGTTCGCGTAAGTTCGCCTAGCTGGCCTGCCGGCTACCTGTCGTGATGGATGACGCTGCCGCAGAACCCGTGCCAAGTAGCTGAAATTCGTGAGGGTAATTCTTCGTCACCTTCTTCCTCAGAGTCATCCACATCATCTTGAATAGTTCTGGCGGCTGCATGAGAAAAGGAGCTCGCGCAAGAAATTCTTGCGGGGAAACGCTCAAAACGCCCACGCGCAAGCTCGCGCGTAAGCAACTTGATACAAGATAGGGATTCATGGGGGTCTATAGAGTCGCTCATGTGGTGGTACCAAATTTGAAGCAAACCACACATAGCAGCAGCAAGCACATGCTAGATACACTTTTAGCCCAAATCGTGACACTGTGAGGACGTGAACATTTACGGGTCTTGCGGGCAAGTGAGATCTGAAGGAATGCACGTGGATGAGCCTGATAATTTTCTTTCAGATCAATATTGTCTGCCCCTCCCTGCTGGTCTCATTTTTCAAAGTCACCACCCCCGCCTCCCCTGTGGGTTGAAGGGAAACCATCCTATTCGCTGACTTTGATAAACCCCAGAAACAGCTAAGATGATAACCGCGAGAGTCTTACAAAAGGGGGTGCCTGTTTGGGGGCTGGAACACGTTCTAAGCTGAGCAGCTGACAATGTGACTAGACTCTCGCTGAACTGCAGCACGATAGGGGATTGACTTCAAGTTGGGTATGTTGTGGGCATCACTCACATGCGACGTGTTTGCGAACCGTGTGGCACAGGTAGCCATGGGTTTGTCTTACGGAGGCCCGCCAACAACCCGACAAGTTCCTTTCTGCTTCTTGCACACTCGACCGCAAAACCAACAAATCTGGTCGCAACAGCTGTGAGTAGGGCTTATGGCTTCTCCGACTCAGATAGCCTGTGCATCCTTCGACAGTGGCAGATCTACAGGACTAGCGCAGTCTGCTGTCCAAGCAAGCTCTGTCACAAGCCAAAGTAACCCATCTTCGAAATGTTGTACCGCCTGGGCGACCACCGAGCTTGAAACAAACACGCCTTACTCGAACCCCTCGGCAGAAAGAGTCTTGTGCCTTCTCGAAGTTGGCTAAGGGCAAGCGTTACCCGGTCTTTATGCTTATTTGTCTGCTTTCTTGTTTCTGTCGGTGTTGAGCTCGAAACAACCCGGGGGCCGAGTTTTTTTTAAAGGATCTGGCAAGGGACACACAGAGACTCTAGTCACTCCCAGGTCCCTTTGCCCCGACACGGTTGAGTCCCTAAACACTGCAAGTAAAGCAAGCGACGAATTGATTCACTGGTCGTTCCTCTTTGGGTCAACTGATCTACTTCAAAGGCTTTTGACCGAATCCTTCTGATTCCTCCGAGGTTGAAGAAACCACACGAACAGGATACTCCCCATCGAAGATCTGGGGTTCCCGCCTCGAAGTCTCACGCGACTTGCAG